GCAAAGATTCTGGCATTGGTCTTTTGTAACTTGATACGGTTGTCGTCTTTCTGAATTTGTTGAAAAATTGGGTAGTTCACAAGGTTAACAGAGGCTCCGGAATCAATCAGAATGTTTACTTTAGTGTGTCCAATCTGTACTTGCGTTTCTGGATGTTTACCCGAGCTTGTGTTGACAGTAAAAAGAAATTCATCGTCCGATTCTTGAAGATAATCACGACTTTTCTCTTGGTTGACATGTCTGACATTTCCACTGTCCTTAGATTGAGATCTGCAATATTTTGCAAAATGACCGATTTTCTTGCAGTTGTGGCAAGGTTTACCTCTAGCTGGGCAGGACTCTATTCCGTCTTTGTGCGGGAATTTACCTCCACAGTTACGACAGGTTTGGGACTTTCGACCGCTATCTGGAGCTTCTTTCTGGTATTTATTTCCTTGAAAACGCGAATCAGGCTTCTTGGGCGTCTGTATCTGGAATTTGATCCACCGGAAGTTGGAAATTTTCGATGTTGTTTTGAATTCTTTTCGTTGTAATTATAATTTACTGTTTCGTTACTTTCGCTTTGGAATTTGCTGGCGTTATCGAGGCGTTTAGACTGTTCATCTGTACGTTCTAAGGTATTCCCGTAGTCGAGAATTTGTTTGAGAGTCATCGTCTCACGAAGCGCTTTCTTTCTTAACCGGGAATCGCGGGTTTTGTGAATAATTTGGGTTTTTAATTTAATCTCGGCTTCCTCGCTGTGAAAATTACATTGTACTGCTTTTGTCTTCAGTCGACGGTAGTATTCGTTGAGCGTTTCGTTGGATCCTTGCTTTAGCTCTCGAAAATCGAATATAGCCATGTCTGTATTTCCTTGTGGCACGAAGTGTTGAGTGAAACAATCGATCGCTTCTTGATAAGTTGTGCCAGTGTCGGGGAGAATATCGAAAATGTCGTTGGCTGACTCGCCTACATAGGTTAACAATAAACCTCTCCTAACGGTTGAATCAAACTCACGAAGACTTATAAGCAAGTTTTCGAAACGACGAACCCATTTAGTCCATCTTTGACCCACTGTTGCTGTATCTTGGTGTGGAGTAAAGGGAGGAAACGGCGGTAAACCACTGCGTGGAACTTGCGATGTTGTTGTCGCGTTTGTAGCGTTTGACGTTGTTGATGATGATGCGTTTTCAGCATTGATATCTTGACCTTCGGTATCCATAATATAGATTTAGGGTTTTTCGGACCTCGTCGCCACTTTTATATCCTCCGTTATTCAACTTTTATAACATATAGTTACTCTGCTATATTATACATGTATACTTGCTCTCTGGCTTAGCGTCTCCTAATCTAATGTCTCGTGACCTAATCTTATATGTCAATCACTTCAGCTGTCCAATCAGCATTTGGATACAACATAAACCCAGGTGCTTGACGTGTCAAAATATTCACGAAACCGACACTTTTAGGTGAACAGCTGATGGTAAACAATACAAAGTGAACCATCATTTAAACCGTGACTCAAAGTGTGTGGTTTATCTTTTGACATGTAAAGTGTGTAAGAAGCAATATGTTGGTCAGACGACAGATAAATTCCGCTTTCGATGGAACAATTATAAATCTTGTCAAAGGAAAGCAATGTCCAACAAAGCTCATACACAAGCCTTTTTTCATTCGCATTTCTTAGGTGAAAACCATAATGGCTTAATGAATGACTGTGATATAGTCATAATTGATAAAACCAACCCAGCAGAACCAACGATTAGGGAAATGTACTGGATTAATAGACTTATGACAATGTACCCCTCGGGGTTGAACATTGAACAGGATTCTGAGGAATATGAATAATTATGTTCGTCTGGTAGGGTATATAAGTAGGGGTTTATGTTAACGATTTTTACTTGGAAGAAGACAATAAAGTCGAAACGTCAAAATATATATATATATATATATATATATATATATATATATATATATATATATATATATATATATATATATATATATATATATATATATATATATATATAGGGGGAAAGGGAAGGCAATCGGAGGGAAAAATAACGACTGGGAGATTAAAGATTCAAAATGGCGGACTATTTTCCGTTCTTAGCTGATGAACTCCCTTGTCCGCATGAGGAATGTCATGATAATTTATATTGCTATGCTCAAGATGGTTTAGACCACCATTACAGGACAATCCATATATGTCCACTCCTGTTACTTCAGCTGACAGCTGGCATTTTGAAGTGCTCCAGACTTGACCAATTGAAGGCCGATATAATAGACCTTTATAAAAAGGTTGACGTCAGCAGGATTGTGACGTAGTTTGCGGAGAAAATCCCGAAAGCTCAGAGTTGTTTACTTGTTTTGAGTTTTTTAAGAGCTAGAAGAAGCCAGTATTATGGTAAGTTTGAAGTAAATTTTTGTATATATATAGGCCAAATGAGTTTTCATATTCGTTAGAGTTTAAATTTTATTTGTTTTTATATTAGATTGTATATTTATTTTACTGTCAACATTTAGCAAATTGTTCGCTCGGTCTGTTTACATATTTCGTTGCTAAAAAGTATAATTTTTCTTTTTTGTTTCTCAAATTCATCAGTCTAATCATCAGAATAGCCCCATGCAATCAAGCTGCAGACAACAATACACAGGCTCAGTGATCGTGCAAAGAGGTACATAAGTCATAAGTGAACTTAGACATATAAACTAAGACTAAGTCTATTTAATTAATATTTTATCGATAAATAGTTGAAGTGAACATACATGACAAGTAGATAGATAGATAGATAGATTTATTAAAAACACTACATGGCAGTCACAGAGATTGAATTACGTAGGTATACAAGTTATTAGTATATATTATTAAAATTTACATTATGTTAAAACATCTAAAACCGTATATAAGTCCTAAGAAAGTTAAAAAGTAGTAATACATTGGTTGCATGCATACTTCAAAAATGCCAGTACTGTCCGCGTTCACTACATGACGGCACGAATGTATTTTTGAACCGATTAGTGCTAATAAAAGGCAATTCGTAAGCTCGATTGTGTCTTAAGTTGTGATGTGGTATATTTGTTTTTGGTAAAAGGTGGTGTAACTTATGATTGCTATCAGTCAACGTTGATCGAAAGAGTGAATCACACAAGTTTTGGCGACGAGTGGACAGCGTATCAAGATTTGACAGTTCTAACCTTTCTTCATACGTGATTCCTGGAAAAGTGAAGGATAATGCGGGTTTCTGAACTCGTTCTAAGTTCTCCTGAAGATACTCGGGCAGGGCGTAATGGAATACCTGTGCCCCATATTCCAGTACAGGTCGGATGCAGGCACAATAGAAATTAATAATATCTGTCGCGTGAACTTTTGCTCGTTTAAGTTGGACAAGGAAAAATAAGCGTTTGTTGGCTTTTTTTATTGCGTTGTTAACATGATCGTTCCATAACAATTTGTCTGAAACGGTAAGCCCCAAGATCTTCGCGTGGTGCACTACCTCAATTGGTTTTCCTTCTATCGTTAATCGGTGGAGATGATGCTTCTGGCGTTTAAAATCGATTACCATTTCTTTACATTTGTCTCCGTTAAGTTGGAGTCTATTCTGGAGGGACCAATTCACAACGATATCAACACTCCTTTGCGCTTGACTTGAAGAGTTCACGGGCACGACCTCTGAGGTGGTCGTATCATCAACGAATTTCCAGCTAGGCAGAAATTAATAATATCTGTCGCGTGAACTTTTGCTCGTTTAAGTTGGACAAGGAAGAATAAGCGTTTGTTGGCTTTTTTTATTGCGTTGTTAACATGATCGTTCCATAACAATTTGTCTGAAACGGTAAGCCCCAAGATCTTCGCGTGGTGCACTACCTTAATTGGTTTTCCTTCTATCGTTAATCGGTGGAGATGATGCTTCTGGCGTTTAAAATCGATTACCATTTCTTTACATTTGTCTCCGTTAAGTTGGAGTCTATTCTGGAGGGACCAATTCACAACGATATCAACACTCCTTTGCGCTTGACTTGAAGAGTTCACGGGCACGACCTCTGAGGTGGTCGTATCATCAATGAATTTCCAGCTAGGCAGGTCTGACACTTTAAGATCATTTATCATGAGCAGGAAAAGCCAAGGGCCCAATTTAGCCCAATTTAGTTCCCCAATTTTATCAATCGTGTGTAACACTTTCCGTGTCTGGGTCAACAATCTAGCTTTAATTTTCTATCAAGGTTTTGCCAGGTTGGGCCATTCTGATGATTAGACTGATGAATTTGAGAGACAAAAAGAAATAAATATATACTTTTTAGCAACGAAATATGTAAACAAACCCAGCAAACAATTTGCTAAATGTTGACAGTAAAATAAATGTACAATCTAATATAAAAACAAATAAAATTTAAACTCTAACGAATATGAAAGCTCATTTGGCCTATAAATAGAAAAAATTACTTCAAACTTACCATAATACTGGCTTCTTCTGGCTTTTCAAAAACTCAAAACAAGTAAACAACTCTGAGCTTTCGGGATTTTCTCCACAAACTACGTCACAAGCCTGCTGACGTCAACCTTTTTATAAAGGTCTATTGATAAAAATACGAACTTTGCGGAGATTACATCATAAAATCATCGATTTATGTCGAGCAATGTCAAAATATCCAAACTTGAAGCATAAAATATTAGTTTGCAAGATAAACACGTTTTTGCAAGAAAATCAGAATAATCTTCCAGTCGCTTATTTTTTCAACCTCGTACCCAGGATCTTTCCTCTTGGTGAGAAAAGACCCTGGTAGACGCTGGTCACGTGATCTGCTGAAATCTAGCAGATTTCTAATGAACTATCTTGGATTCTAATGAACTATCTTTACGACAATCATACAAAATGCAAATTATAAATTAAACTATAAAAATCATCGAAATCAAATATTTATTGACCTCATCTTAAATTGGAATGCTAATTAAAAATTTGCTAGATTTTAGCAGATCACGTGACCAGCGTCTACCAGAGTCTTTTCTCCCCTCGCCAAGAGGAAAGACCCTGGGTACGAGGTTGTTATTTTTCCCTTCGCCCTCCCCGTGAGTCTCTGGGTGCCCACTCCTGACCTCAGCCCGCGCGCTCGCTCTTGTCTTCAACAGCCTGAGAATTGCCTGAATTTGTTGAATACAAAAAAGAAATGCTTATAAAGTAAAATTATAAAATAATGTATTAAAATGGTCAATATTGGTACTCGGAAGCTCGGAGTCCTGGAATCTCGGACGTCCCTTCTCGGCCATCGTAGGGGACGAGTCTGCTACTTTGCTATGTTCGGCTCCGGCTTCTCCCCCATTCTTGACATTCCATCTCATCTTATTGATGTGTAAATTTGCACAAGATTTTAGTAAAATATTCTTTTCAACTCAAATTTTGTGTACATTTAACACAAAAATGTTAACTCAAATTATTGTGTTTATATTAGCACAAAATACTCAGTAAATAGATCATTTACGCAATATTTTGAGTAAATATTTACTCATTAGTTTAAGTAAATTCACTTTACTGTGTTACAGTGTGTAAACTCAACACATGATATTGTGTAAACATGAGAAGAGCGTAATTTTTTGATAAAGTGAGATTCAGTGAATTAAAGCGAATATCATCTCCTTCTCTAAAGACATTTATACCCTGCAACAACGGAATGAAAATTAGAACACTCGCTGATCTGAAAACTAGGACTAGATCCTTTTGAATGCAATGAGCCAGTAGATTTTTAAATCTGTCAAATTATTCACCTATCGATGATATGTTTAAAATTAGTTGAACTATGGAGCAAATGTCTGCCTGGGCAGCTTGAAAGGTATAGTTCTCCGCACCTCTTGTAACAAGTTTTAGAACTTTTATACACTAGATAATTAGACTCGAGGCGGCCATATTGCTTTGAGTCTTTGACCTCTTTATACTAGTTATTATTCATCAGCAATTTTAAGACGAAAGAGAAGCCACTGATGACCAATTTATATCTAGACAATGCGTGCCCTTTCCCAAACTGTTAGAGAACGAGAAACAGTTAGAACATACAATCGTCAAATAATTTCATTGGGACAAAGTTCACGTCCATATAAAAACACGCCTACCCCATACATAGCCTCAGTTTTAGTCCTCCCCTTCCCCCACCGTTCAATGCTGACAACGAAACTAAGTTGGGCGAAACCTAACATCGTTCCACAATACACAACATTGAATGGTGGGGGGAGGGTGTGGGCGTAAAATTTCCGTTAACAAAACGATATCCCAAACTATTCGTTTGATGCGTCATTGTCCCAATGAATTGGTCCATGATTGTAGTTCTAACATGTCAGCAATACCACAGTAGATTCGTGCTGGTCACACTAATTAATATGACCGCACCATCACTCATTAGGCCAGCTTCATTTATGCATAGCGGATACGACATGCTGCAGTCCTAGTTTTCAGATTAGTGAAAACACTGCACAAACAGTCAAAACGGCTACATAATCAAATCAAATCAAATCACAACACAATAAAATATAATAGCATTTATTTGGATACAATTGTGAATATATTTTGTACTATTTGCACAGATATAACAAAGTGTGATAAGAAATATTCTAGACGTTCCGTCCGAGTATCGTATTAAAAAGTTCTGTTAAAATGCAACTTCTGAATTATGGTCAAGCGACGTTTTGTCTTAGACAGGTAAGCATAGTAGATTGTGAACATAATGAAATTCAGTATGTAGCAAAAACGATATGAACATTAAAAAGTGTTCGTTCGCGCTTTATTTACAGCGTTAATCAACGATACAAAATACGTATTTTCTGGCCTTGTAGGCTACATGCATGGAAAGTACTAAATTATTTTGAGTCACTACTAGAGGTTTTTCAAACAGGAGAGTTCTACTGCTTTGGAAGCAATACCAACCTCGTTCTCAGGGCCTTATGAAGCAATACAACTCTTCTGAATGGCGAAAGCCAGTCGAAGGCATAGAGATTATAAATAACACTAGAGGAGGCATCGAGTTTAAGAATTGGGAACGCAGCTAATGGGGGCCAAATTCAAGTCCCGGATATAAAATGTGCTCTCATTGTGCTCTCATCGTCACCAATGGGAACACGAATACACATCCGGGACTTGAATTTGCCCCCCAATAGTCGCGTTCCCTTTTTTTTACTGAATTAAGATTACAATGCCTCCTCTAGTGTTATTTATAATCTCTATGGTCGAAGGCATATGTTTTCTCCTTCCGAACTGTACTAAATATAAGATGTCCGCAACTCTGTTTGAGCATCGTCGATACGTTGGCGTCCTACGTGCTTTAAGGTCCATTTATCACACGATACGAATAGTCGTATACGCTTGTCATTCTGGCGGTGTATGAAAACGACTGCTGACGCCATTATTCCTGTTCATCAGTTTATGGCGAAATTTGACATCTTTACACGCATTTATTCGAGTACATACGCTGTGTAAATGAGCCTTAAGCCAGTTTTCCACTTCAACCGCACCGTACCGAAACGTACTGGTGAGCATGCGCAGATTGAAAAGAGGTTGAATCAAAATAAAAGTTCGTCGCAAGTCAACTTTTTCGCCTACTACGGAAGTATTAACCAATCAACATTCACTAAATTTTGAAATTTAAAAATGTTTTTGATACGCTTCGGTACGGTACGCTTGAAGTGGAAAATTGGCTTAACAGCGCACACGGCACGAACTTTTCTCCACAATGTTTAATTATGCACCACATGAAAGTGTCTTGAAAATCATGAAGAATGGCCTTAACAATTTATTTACAGCTCAAGTTGTTCCCAAGTTATCGGGCAAATTGTGTTATGACGTTACTCGTTGTGCAAGATGGCAGCAAAAAGAAGGAAGTCTAATATCTCAAAAGTGATTCAACAACCATATTTGGTACAGTTAGTAAGTGCACCTAAGCAAACATTTTGGAATGTTTACGTGGTTGTAATAGCAACACTATAGGTGACATGTCTCTCTGTCCAATTTGTCTAGTTCATTGCTTCCTACAAAATAGGAAGGAATTTTTGTAATTTCCCTTTATTACTATAGTTCGTATAGGTGCCGTGGTGAATATAAACTTTATTATAGGAAATAACAATTTCGTTCGAAAATGTTTACAGCAGACAGTGCTAAAATAAGAGAGAGTTGCTAACTGGTGTGTTGCTATGACAACCACATAAACGCCCCAAGATATTTGCACAAGTGGACTTACTAACTGTACCAAATTTCGTTGAATTACTTCTGAGATATTAGACATCTATCTTTTTGCCACCATCTTAAGCACAACCAGTGACGTGACAACACAAAATACAAAATGCCTGATAACTTGGAAAAGAATAAGCGGTGCATATATTGTTATGGCCATTCTTCATAATTTTCAAGACACCTTCAAGTTATGCATAAACACGGGTAGGGGGGGGGGGGATTTCATGTCATGTGCACTTTAAATTCCCAATTGCATTTAGCACAAAGCCTCAACCCGTTCGAATTAGACATGGTTCCTAACGATAAAAATTAGTATATACCATATATAATTGATAACCGTGTACGTAAACAGGAAGTTTCTTAATACAATTTATTTTCATTGAATAAAAATCTTCGTCCGCCAAAATTTACAAGACATTTAGGAGTCAGACGCTGTGAATTCAACATCCATTACGCACCATCTCTTCTGCTGCTCACACTGGAATATATATTTCTTTATTTATGCCCGCTGGTATGTTGTGCGTAAGAGTATTGTTCGAAGGCAAGCTAAAAGATTAAACACATGTGATATTATATTCTGGATGACTGTGGTGAAATTCTGTTGAGACATGCCCTATACCGTCAACCTCCGAATATAAATCCCCTGCACATAAGCCCCGCCCCTCCCCCATGTATAACAAAACTTCGGTTGATAGGGATGCCACTACCTGAAGGAGAACTTCGTCGTTTGGAGCGAAAGCCTTCGTCGGGAAGTTAATAGTAAGTTTGGCTACTAATTTCCAGACAAAGGGCCTTCGCTCGAAACGTCGAAGTTCTCCTTCAAGAAGTTGCATCCCTATCTAATATATCTATACTGGCACAAACAGTTCAATATTATACCCCGTGTGTATAAGCCCACCATATTCCCTAACGGTGTAACGCTCAGGCCATTCCGAATATAAGCCCCCCCCCTGAATATAAGCCCCTCCGTGTATAAGCCCATGCATGGGCTTATTATTGGACGCATGCAGCGACGGGGATTCCAACTGCTCAGACAAGAGTTGCCTTACGAGCGTAATAAGGAATAAAGGAATTACTAAATCTGTTCGTACGCATCTTGGGGAAATTATATTTTCTGTTTGTTCTGAGATTAATTATCACTGAATTTTTTGGAGGCATTTGTTCATTTAACTTGTATTATTTGCTTCGATTGATGAAAATAGTTTTATACACAGCTTTTCTCTTCTTTCGTATAATGTCTCCAACTTTGCCTGATTTATTGCTTCGATATACACCAAATCAGGGTGAATAATCCGTAATGCTTGATTCTGGATACTTTCAGTTTCCCCTGACAGGTTAGTAGTAATATAGAGGCCCATTTTTGCGGCGGTGGAGGTGGTGGAGTGCGGTGGAGTGTGGTGGAGTGTGGTGGAGGTGCTGGAGTGAGGAGGAGTGAGGAGGAGAATGACGTCACTCATTAACATACGTCATAATTATATGCAATGACGTCACGCGGGCGAGCTTAAACACGATCAGGCGAAACTTGCTGACTACGCATTTTTTAGCGTCTCGCCATGTGTGTGGTACAATAGAGGGATTAATGTTGGCTTACTATGATTGGTTCGCGGCCCTCACATTGCAAAATTGTGATCGAAATTAATATATAACAGAGTTATAGCCGTATCTTTGCTCGGAAGCGATAAATTTCCACGAGTATATTGAAGAATTTTTCGTATGTTTACAAAATTATAGCGAGGAATCTATTCGTCACAAAAATCAAGACATATTTTAAACAGAACTAAACATTTCCCGGTTTGTCAACGTCGTTGTTAAGGTCAATATTATTAATATATAGCAGAGTCATAGCTGTATCTTTGCTCGGAAAAGATAAATTTCAACAGGTATATTGAAGGATTTTTCGTATGTTACATAACAAGGAATCTATTCGTCACAAAAATCGAGACATATTTTAAACTAAACAGTTGCTAATCCCGAGTTTGTCAACGTCGTTGTTAAGGTCAATATTTGCATGTTGTTCAACGTTATTTAGCAAATCTTCTACATACATATATACTGTTAAGATGACCGAGTCAGACCATAAGTAAGCTAATGAAGAATATAAGTTAGAATTGGAACAGTTGCAATATATTTTGTGATAAAAACATGTAGTCGTTATATACGTTGTTACATATATATACAAAATTCCAGTTTTAAAATACATTTATTGCTATCTTGAGTTATATAAACACATAGCAGTTAAAGGTGATGATATATAATTGTCAAGCGATTTCTATATTTTAGTGCTAGGTTTTAAAAGTACAAAAACTCGGATAAGGTTAATAAATTTAAGCTATATTAAAGCACACCGGTTGGTATGTGTTGTTAGGGTGAAACTAATTATAGGATTAATTTTTATCAGAGATTTGCATTTTCTAATGTGGATAAATACGGATAGATTAGGATATTCATTGCGCGGGCGTCGCGAGTTATCCGTGCGGTGTGGAAACACAACAATAAGGAGGCTTATATTGGAAGAGACAAAAAGCAGTTTAGACAGGACAGGAGCGCTTTGCAGCCGGAAGTTTACACAAAAATTCAGTCTTAAAATACATTTATTTCTTCGAGACGTTTACAAAGTTAATGGGGCCTACTTCTTAGAGCATAATGTGTTTGATTGTATATAAATTACGCACAACAATTTAAATGTTGTGATAAGAGTCGTTTGGCTTAATTGTTCATTCGCCATGGTTTCTATACTCCTATAGCCCTACATCGACCCTACATCACACCCACATGTCGCCGGCAAAAAAAACCTTTAAAAGATCATTCCTTATCTTATCTTTATCTTCCTTATCCTTATCTTCTTATCTTTATCTTATTATCCTACCTTTATGAAAGACTATAGTCCTGACTATGAAAGACTATAGTCCTGACTATGAAAGACTATAGTAAAGACTATGAAAGACTATAGTCCTGACTATGAAAGACTATGCTAAAGACTATGAAAGACTATAGTCCTGACTATGAAAGACTATAGTCCTGACTATGAAAGACTATAGTCCTGACTATGAAAGACTATATAGTCTTGACTATGAAAGAATATATAGTCCTGACTATGAAAGACTATAGTCCTGACTATGAAAGACTATAGTCCTGACTATGAAAGACTATAGTCCTGACTATGAAAGACTATAGTCCTGACTATGAAAGACTATAGTCTTTCACAGTCTTTACTCTAGTCTTTCATAGTCAGGACTATAGTCTTTCATAGTCAGGACTATATATTCTCTCATAGTCAGGACTATAGTCTTTCATAGTCAGGACTATAGTCTTTCATAGTCTTTATTCTAGTCTTTCATAGTCAGGACTATAGTCTTTCATAGTCAGGACTATAGTCTTTCATAGTCAGGACTATAGTCTTTCATAGTCAGGACTATAGTCTTTCATAGTCAGGACTATAGTCTTTCATAGTCAGGACTATAGTCTTTCATAGTCTTTACAATAGTCTTTCATAGTCAGGATTATAGTCTTTCATAGTCAGGACTATAGCCTTTCATAGTCAGGACTATAGTCTTTCATAGTCAGGACTATAGTCTTTCATAGTCAGGACTATAGTCTTTCATAGTCAGGACTATAGTCTTTCATAATCAGGACTATATATTCTTTCATAGTCAGGACTATAGTCTTTCATAGTCAGGACTATAGTCTTTCATAGTCAGAACTATAGTCTTTCATAGTCAGGACTTATAGTCTTTCATAGTCAGGACTATAGTCTTTCATAGTCAGGACTATAGTTTTTCATAGTCAGGACTATAGTCTTTCATAGTCAGGACTATAGTCTTTCATAGTCAGGACTATAGTCTTTCATAGTCAGGACTATAGTCTTTCATAGTCAGGACTATAGTTTTTCATAGTCAGGACTATAGTCTTTCATAGTCATGACTATAGTCTTTCATAGTCAGGACTATAGTCTTTCATAGTCAGGACTATAGTCTTTCATAGTCAGGACTATAGTCTTTCATAAAGATAGGGATAAGATAAAGATAAGAAGATAAGGATAAGGAAGATAAAGATAAGATAAGGAAGATAAAGATAAGATAAGGAATAATCATTTATATTTTTTTTCCGGCGACATGTGGGTGTGATGTAGGGTCGATGTAGGGCTATAGGAGTATAGAAACCATGGCGAATGAACAATTAAGCCAAACGACTCTTATTACAAAAAACATTTAAATTGTTGTGCGTAATTTATATACAATCAAACACATTATGCTCTAAGAAGTAGACCACATTAACTTTGTAAACGTCTCGAAGAAATAAATATATTTTAAGACTGAATTTTTGTGTAAGCTCCTGGCTGCAAAGCGCTCTTGTCCGGTCTAAACTTCTTTCTCTCTTCCAATATAAGCCTCCTTATTGTTGTGTTTCCAACACGCACGGATAACCCGCCACGCCCGCGCAATGAATATCCTAATCTATCCGTATTTATCCACATTAGAAAATGCAAATCTCTGATAAAAATTAATCCTATAATTAGTTTCACCCTAACAACACATAGCAACCGATGTGCTTTACTATAGCTTAAATTTATTAACCTTATCCGAGTTTTAGTACTTTAAAAACCTAGCACTAAAATATAGAAATCGCTTGACAATTATATATCATGACCTTTAACTTCTATGTGTTTATATAACTCAAGATAGCAATAAATGTATTTCAAACACTCATTAATAATTCATAAGCTTATTGGCAAATCATGTCAACCATAATGTGTCACGTGCAGTGGCTTTAAACTTGATAAAACACTCCTAATTAGTATTCTTTATATAAAGAATACTAATAAGGCAGTATCTATTGTAGTCGTGTCCTCATTAGTATTCTTTATATAAAGAATACTAATAAAGCAGTATTTCTATTGAATTTCTGGTCGTGTTTGAAGCCGTTTAATAAACTCGCAGGTCGTATTTTATTAGGTCTAAAGCCACTCGCGCTGCGCGCTCGTGGCTTTAAACCTAATAAAACACTCCTGCTCGTTTGTTAAACAGTACTTTAAAACTGAAACCTTGTGCAAACTTTTGCCTGCAAAGCCCGCTTTTCTGCCCGCGCAAACCGCCCGCCTGATTAGTGTACAAATATGTTGTACGTTAATATATGCATGCACCCAAGCGTCGCTAATGACTTAGCAACACATAACAACGTATATAACGACTACATGTTTTTATCGCAAAATATATCACAACTGTTCCAATTCTAACTTAAATTCTTCATAAGCTTACTTATGATCTGACTCGGTCATCTTAACAGTATATATGTATGTAGAAGATTTGCTAAATAACGTTGAACAACATGCAAATATTGACCTTAACAACGACGTTGACAACCCGGGATTAGCAACTGTTTAGTTCTGTTTAAAATATGTCTTGATTTTTGTGAAGAATAGATTCCTCGCTATAATTTTGTAAACATACGAAAAATCCTTCAATATACTCGTGGAAATTTATTGCTTCCGAGCAAAGATACAGCTATAACTCTGTTATATATTAATTTCGATAACAATTTTGCCATGCGAGGGACGCAAACTATTCATAGCAAGCCAATTTTAATCCCTCTATTGTATCAGACACGTAGGGGAATGCTAAAAAATGCGTAGTCAGCAAGCTTTGTCCAATTTCGCCCGAACAGGCCCGCGTGACGTCATTGCATATAATTATGACGTATGTTAATGAGTGACGTCACTACGCACCCTCATTTGTACGAGTATTAATTAGCGCACCCTCAGCACCCTTACGCACCCTCATTTGTATGAATATTAATTAGTGCACCCTTACGCACCCTCAAAAATCCGGATCGATCGGTACCTATATTACTACTGACATGCATACAGCTATTTCAATTAAGGCTGTCCACGAGCAAAGCGGAAAAGTCGAATACGAGCGCGAAAGGCTGCTGGGAATCGTTAACAAATTAATGAATTTTCAAAGCGATTCCCAGCAGCCTTTCGCGCTCGTATTCGACTTTTCCGCATTGCTCATGGACAACCTTAATTGAAAGAGCTGTATGTCTGCTTTGTCTTTGGTCGTATCACATAGAACAAGCGCAGGCATATATAGTCTATTGTTGGAGAAAATAACTTAAACCGTGCATTTAGATAATAATTGGCAGGTTACGCTATTCCACTGCCAAAAGCTTAAATCCCAGCTTGGTACTGAATCGAATATGAATGAATACCCTGCTTGGTACTGAATATATGAAACCAAATCATGAAGGATATGCATATTGCTATCTTTGATGAGTTAGTTAAATCGCCATCTTGTTTTATTCGAAAAATTCATGGAGGGTTTTTTAATCCAATTCTATATATGGAGCTGGCAGGTTAAAGCTTATAATTTCAACCATATATTCTCATATAAGATGAACATAAAAGTATGCCGTTAAGTCAATGAAAGCTTTTTTATGAGCACGCTGGTCATTCTCAGCAAATTTTCTCCGAGTACCGCAGGCTCGCATTTTCAGCGGACTTGTGAAAAATTGAAACTTTTGCATTTTGCACAGAACTGCCCACTTTCTGTAAGATGTCCGCTGACAATACGAACCCGCACGAGTGGGAGAAATTTTGCTAAATTTGACCAACGTGGAGGGATATTCTTCGATAGCTCACACAATCTAAACAGAAAACAGATGCACCGACGTTTTGAGCAAAGGTGCTTCGTCAACGGAGCGTTATAGAAGATCTAAGTGAAAAACGCTGCTTTAATGTGCAAAATGGGACAACAAAGGCAGTAATGTGAATAAAATAAAACAATCAAACAAACAAACAAACAAACAACAGCATGACTGTCGAGAAATATTTTACGAAGTTCTGTATTCATCGCAGCGTCGAACGCTGGACTGTACCAGTTTCTAAATTTTATGACATTTATGCGGTTTACAACTCATTTTCTTTATTCAGTACCTTGGTTTACAACTCATTGTCGTTATAGTTGTATCGCTGGTTGTAACTGTAGCTAGTGGTAAATTACACTTTCTGTAAGACACTATAGTGTACAGAGTGATTAGTTTAATATATACAGAGAAGCGATAGGTAACAAAATGAATTAGACAGGTTGTATAATTGGACGAAACTTTGCAACAGAAATTTCTAATGATTTAAATTTCTATCATTTTATTAATACTATTATATAGCTATCATAAAATTCCACCCATAAACGACGATTGCTGGCATCACATGGCAATTACGTGGGACAATGCAGATGGCAAATGGGAGTTCTACTTAGATAGCGTACATCGTTTCAGCATCGATAATTTTCGAACAGGTCAGATTGTACCAAATAATAGTTTGATAATAATCGGACAAGAGCAGGATGAGTTTTCCGGCGGCTTTTCGCCAGATCAGGCACTTCAGGGATGCCTAAGCCGTTTAAATATTTGGGATACAGTTTTGCCAGTAGAAGTCGTTGTTTCGTTTGCAAAGGATCCTGGTTACGATAACGGCAACGTATTGTCATGGTCATTCCTTCGTCATCATCTCAGCGATATTCAGGCTTCTCAGCCATCGAATGTTGTGAGCAGTGGTAAGTTTGCGGAGCTTTTGGCTTACGTAACAGTTTTCATTGCCATGCAGCCATAAGGTTCTGGAAGTGCGTATTGAGAACCAATCAATTGACATTTTGCGACTTGCGTATTAATAATTTCAGATAAACCTTCTGTAATAACATGTCATAAAAAGTAGAAAGCCAATATTTTCCCTGCATGGTTATCTGGGTAATTTAACAAGTGCGGAACATTTTAGGCCTGGATTTTAATAAAATCCCCGCATACCCCCCGGGATGTCGGATTTCAATTGAAAAAATTATGATCTTTTTAATTTGTGGTTTTGCTGAGGGAAACAATCATTTTAGCCACTTGGCTTTGTTTTAAAAGCAATATAGAGGTTTTCAGCATATAGTAGTGGAGTAACATAGCTTGTCCTCAGTTTGTTATAATTTGCGACTGACTTCAGTCAATATTTTATTTTAATTTCGATTACAGTTGGGAAATCCAATGTCGCACTAACGTTCAGCCAGATGAGCAACCTTAATTATGCTGTTCTGCCTTATGACGGTTCAATAATCGCACAACTTACAGTTTGTACTTGGATTGACCTTACCGCTAGTTCCACAGATGCACCCTGTCTCATATCGTATGCAACGTCAACTTCATTCAATGAATTTTACATTTTTTTTTACGAATCAAAGTGCTTGATCAGTTTGGAGAGTCAAAAATATGAGTAAGTACATACCGTGGTCATTCCATATAGAAAATAAAAGGCGTGCACAGAGGACTAGGGACTAATGTAATAGTAATTGAGTTGTTGAGGAAACTGGGATCGATTGTTTAAAACAATACACTTGGAAAAAAAGTGAAATCCACACTATCAGATTTGAAATTGCACCGCTAATTCCATGGTATATCCATACTATTTCGATATATCGATAGTATATCCATACATGGTATATCCATACTGTTTCGATATATTCTTAAAAAATCATTAATAATTCAGGAGCAAAACACAAAGAAAAATCATAAGCGTGTCGTGGTTTTATATGTGATAAAAAATCATGTTAATTTACATAAACTTTAGCTTTGATTTTCTCGGTTTAGACAAAGTTTATTTTAAAAATTACTTCGCCAATGAACTCGTATATGATGAGTCGTTTTTTAAGTTATTTAAAGCACTTGTAGTCGTGTTTTATCACATATAAACCACTCCGCTACGCGTCGTGTTTTATATGTGATAAAACACTCCTACGCGTGCTTTAAATAGTACATAGTATGCATGGTATACAATTATTATGGTAATAGCATAGTTACGCGGGTTTCTTTTGTTTCAACAGGGGCGATTACTAATCGCCCGCTGTAGCGGGCGATTAGTTCTAATCGCCCGCTCGACCGGGCAATTTAGTAAATTGCCCGTTGGCAAGAGTCACACCCTTTGTCTGCCGACTACGCATTAGGCAAGTGCCTCACGCTCATAATCGTGCAAGGAACAGCAACAGTTTGCTCAGATCCGTCAATAGTCTATCACCTACGGAAGCCGTGAAGGGACTTCGGACTTCAGACACTGAGAATAAAGATCAGTAACAGAAGGGTCACTCAGTGGTGCAACGCGTGTCGGCCAACATGCGTAATGCAACATGCGCGAGGTCAGAAGCTTCAAAGCTTAATTTAATTTAATTTAATTTATTAACTTCGCCAGATAGTCTTTAATAGATAATTACTGAGGCCAACGGCATTATTCGATATATTGCAGCCAGCTGAGGCCGAAGGCCGAAGCTGGCTGCAATATATCGAATAATGCCGTTTGGCCGAATTTTTATATTACTCGAATAATGCCGTTTGGCCAAATTTTTATAATTACTGACCCGAATCAAAAGTAATTATTTTCGGCTGGAAGACTACGTTGCTGCTTGTTGGGACCGTATGACAATGAATCTATCCAACGTTACACTAGACATTTGTGAGGACATGCATGTAATGCATCGTGATAGAACAGATTTCAGTTTAATTAATCGCCCTAAATTAAAATCTCCACAAGCGGAGGTCAATTATAGTGTTCTAGTTTACATATTATCATTAATGATAAGGTTAATCCAAAGAGCTTATTAAACTGGATAAACACGGGAATAGAACTTATGGTGTGTCCTGCACATGCGTATATCTAGGATAAATCCCATAAGCGCAAACGAAACTATTTCTCTATAAAGTTGAGCTGAAAGGACTCACAGAGACCGTTTTGGCAGTGCTTCAGGCGCCCGATGATATCGTATGAGGGGCCTTTAGCACTTGTCAACTTCTCATCTTGAGATGTTCACGTTATCGCGTGTACTTGTCATGATGACGAAGGATTGCGAATAATGTCTGTGTGCACTGATACACGCTGCATTATTTTTAATAATGCTGTGTGCACGCTGCATTATTTTTAATAATGCTGTGTGCACGCTGCATTATTTTTAATACATTTTAATGCATTATTACAATAAAACATTTACCCCTGGGAATTTCCCTACAATAAAAAAAGACCGCTCCCGTTTTTCAGAAGAACGCTAAAACTTCTCGACATTCGCTGATATAATGCAGAGAGAAAACAATAGGTTATTATGACCGTCAGTAATTATGTATAGGATAATGCCCAAGCTCGAGGTATTATTAAAAATAATGACCGAGCGCGTAGCGCGAGGTCATTATTTTTAATAATACCGAGAGCGAGGGTATTATCCGACTTAATGCACATTGTGGTGTTTATGAACAAAGAAAACTATTAA